AGCTTTAGATGGCGGCGCAGGACACGGGATTGCAGATCAATTTGTTCCAGCTACCTCGACTCAGATCACGCTCTTGTCTGTGCGGATATCTGCGTACGCTTTGATTGTTCCTCGAAACCATGGCACCGCACGATAAATACCAACTGACTGGCTAACCCCTCCATTCAATTGGCCTGTCAATTCTCCTTATCAGATATGCTCGTGAGTGCCACACCTACAGATATCGAACATCACTGGAATTTCTTACAGGTGTTGCGTTTTTCCGGTCACTCATACTGTGGAATTGCTAGGCGTCCTATGAGAGGTTGGATCTCTGCTCACTCTTCGAAAGTGTTTAACTATCGCTGAGCTGCGATGAACTGCGCCGCAAACTCAATCAATAACTCTTGCAAGGCCTGCGTAACGATCGCGAAGTTTGGCGGTCTCAGCGCGCTTCGGATAGGGAGACAGCAGCTCTCTGAAAGTTTTCGCAAGCTTTTCCAACTCATTTGAACCACTGGCTAAAGATGACCTGGCGTCAATGAAGCTAGTTGCGTGGTTAATGGATCACCAACTTGCGTAGGCGCATGGGCCGCTGGGCTGAACACTTCCGATCTCAATTTACTTGCCTCTTCTCCCCGCCTCTAACAAACAGACCAACTTACGCGCCTTAAAACGTTACACTGGAACCACCCACCGAAGCACAGGTCTGTCTTAAGATTCGACACTTGAAGCGGTCCAGAGCTACTGACACAGATGGACTTCTTCCGGAGCTGCTCAACTACGGTGGCGAGGCAATTGTCAACCAACGCTGTTCTTCAAGGTCTGGTGTGAAAAAGAGGTTCCATTCTCTTGGGGCGAGTCGATTATCGTACTCATCTTCAAAAAGAATACTCCTACTTCATGCGCCAGCCACTGCGCAGACTAACACCGATTCGCGAACTACACACCCATGTGGAACAGGCTGCTTTCCGCCCCCAGGCGAGGGTGTATGGGCTACACCTTTACATTCCGCCAACTTCTCGAGCAGCGCCACCTTTATCGCCAGCCTACCATGCTCACCTTTTTGAACATCTGAGTCGCGTTCTTCTTGGTCGATCGGCCTGCTTTATCCTGTTGTGTGCAAAGGAATGAGGTACCCGAATGGTATACCGCCATACTTCGAGCTTTATTCAACGATGTCTGCCAGAGTGAGAACTTAAGCTCTCCTCACTTTTCGCCGTCACTAGGGGTGTTCGACAGGGATGCCTCTAGTCCCCGTTTTCTTTTAGCTTCGCGATTGAAGATATCCTATTAATCGCTATGGAAGGTCTCTAGGGTTCTGGCGTAGAGCTTCTTCCAGACAATGATCGCTCCCACTTATGGGGCCGTGTACCGTCTGCCGATAAATATACAAATTTATTTATTTATTTAACCACTCAGCTAACTTGAACTATGCTGATGATATTGTTTTGCTCGGTAACGACCCAATGAGCATGTAGGTGGTTTTAAACCGCTTCGTGATTGAAGTTACCAACTATGGCATGACCTTCGCTCTATCGAAATGCAAGGTCCTACACCAGCATTGGCATCCACATGTCCCCGTTCTGATTCTTTAAGCTGCGCAGCTTGAACTAGTAGATAGCGTCGTCTGCGTTGGGAGCTGCATTTCTTCTGATGGCACCATAAGAAGAACGTTTTACACTGTATTGCCAAAGTCCGATCAGCTTTCGCTGATCTGAAACGTCTGTGGCGTCGTCGTGACGTTTCACTCTCGGTAAAGGACGGTGTACAATACCTGTGTTCGTCCGGTCCTGTTGTATGGAAGCGAGTCCTGGCCTATCCGTGTAATACTGAATACTGTATTTTGGAGCAAGTAGAAAATAATTCTGTACAACTCCATCGGGTGATAATCAAAAAACATTTAAAAAAATAAATAAACACGTCCGGTGGTTATCGTGAGATGGTTCAGCAACTCCTTCTGTAGCACACTAAATGCTTGTTTACACAGTGAGTCACAAGTGGGTGATATCGTTGTCAAGTGGCAACCGTTCTCTGAAACGTATGTTATCGAAGTGTAAATCCAACAAAGATTTGAATTTCTGCACAGATTCGGCCTCGACGACGTGTTCTGGCAGACTGTTCCAGGCGTGCACAACCCTCCGCTCGAAACACAGGGGATGTGGGATTTTCTTCAGATCAGGTACCACGAGTTTGTACCTGTGCCCACGTGTGGCGCACGGTACTCGCAAGTGGACTAACGACCTTAGCATGGGGAAATGACCGAGATGTAAAATACGGTAGGTCATGATAAGATCCACTCGAACACGGCGATATGACAAGGTGTAGAGCCCAAGTTTCATGCACCGGTTTTCATACGATAAGCCTCTCAAGCTGGGGATCAACTTGGTGGCGATGTGTTGCACTCGTTCGATCTTTTGCGCTTCGCCGCGAGTGATCAACTCGAGTGATCACTCGCGGTGTAAGCAAACTTGAAACTGGGCATCAGAATGCCTTCGAACGGGTCCTAAATTTTTTTCACTCATTTTGATCCCCCTAAAGAGATTGTCCTAGCCACAGCTGCATCAAGCCATGGGATTGGCGCAGTAATTTCTCATACGTATTCCGATGATCCCAGAAAGCAATCACCCATCTCGCCAGAACACTTACGAAGGCCGAGAGGTATTACAGCCAGATCGAGAAAGAAGCATTGGCCATAGTGTTCGCGGTGAAAAAATTCTACATAATGCAGTAAAGCCGCCGCTTCAAACTTCTGACAGGTCACAAGTCCTTGGTTCGGAAAAGGACATCTCGGCCTACACAGCCAACTGGCTACAACGTTGGACCCTTACCTTAATTGGGTATGATTTCGTGGTTCACTGCTAGTCGATAATTTCCATTGGCCAAACGGATGCACTGTCACGCCTAATTGATGCCCACCAGCAAGAACATGAGGACACAATCAGTACCTCGGTCGAGTTCGATCCTAACATGAACTATTCGGCAAGTGATGCATCGCACAGTCTACCAGTTACCGCAGAAGCTTTACCAACCGAAACGCTTCGGGACCCGGTACTCAAGAAAGTTACGTAGTTCCACAAACCAAGTTGGCCACGTTCATGTCCATCTGTCGAGTTGCAACAGTACTTCCAGAGGAGACATTCGCTCCCTGTTGTGAACGACTGCATACTATTTTCGGAGTGGTTACCCCCAAGGCACTTCAGGAGCGCCTTATTCGACAACTCCACGCCGGGCATTTTGGGATCAACCGGTGAAGACGCTTGCCCGCAGTTATGTATACTAGCCCTTCATGGACAAACAGCTAGAAGAACTAGCTAAACGCCGCCAAAAGTGCGCCAATGTTTTGAAAGCGCCACAAAAAGCAGAGCTCTATTCATGGCCAGAATCTACTAGACCATAGTGCTGCATCCATGTTGACTTCGCAGGACCGATCAACAACCGAACTTTCCTCCTTCTAGTCGACTCATACAGAAATTGGCCTGAAGTATTTCTCATGAATAGCACAACCACCAATGCCACTGTATCAAAACTGTGCCAAACCTTCAACAGATTCGACTGTCCTGAGACAACTGTAACTGACAATGACGCAATTCACTTCGGCAACTTTTACGGAGTTTTGCAAGTAATGTACCGTCCAGCTCGCCGCCGTTTCACCCACAGTTGAATGGCCAGTCAAAAAGGTTTGTCGAAAGGTTTAAGCGAGCTCTCCACAAATTAAAAGGGGAGGGGCGTATAGAGGTGGTTGACCGGTTCCTTTTTCTCTACCGAGCAACAGTGAATCCACGAACGCCGGGCGGAGTTACTCCAGCACAAGATGCTCCGCATGCCTTTCCATGCCATCCGACCGCGGTCGGGATCCTCTGTTGTTGAAAGAAACCACTGAATGGTAGGGGATTTTAACCGGTGGCATGGAGCAAAGAAACCATCGTTTACATTTGGACAGAAAGTGCTAGTACGTGACTGTCGGGGAAGGCCACGTGAATTGGACGCCACGGACGGTCATAAATAAGCCCGGAAATGTCATGTGTGATGTGATCGTGGGCGCACAGATCTGGGCACGGTATGCAAACCACTTACGGCCAACATTGTGTCAACCAGAACAAGCAAGGCCTACCGACCTCCCGTTCGACTTATTGGTGGAAGGTCTTAACTTGCCGAATGAAGCCATGAGCGACTGCTCACAGTCGAGCAAGGAATCTAGACCACCGACTTCATAACCCAGTTCTCGGGCACTTCTGGCAAGGAGATGGATCGACAGGCAGAGAACAAAGTCCCGAAAACTGCAAATTAATCCTAGGCTTTCATCGTATACCACGGACGATATCTCAGGATGGGAGATGTCCAGGAGAAAGTAAGAATTGCCTGGAAAATCCACTATTTTTGCGATTAATCGAGTATTAGCGATTATCGCCTCGTTCTCGAACGTTCTGGAATGTTCTAAGTCTTGCACATGAATACCAACCACATGACATCTCGATCAAATCGATAGGGAACCACTAACCTTGATAGTTGACTTTCCAATTCCAGCAGTCGAGGGCCAGTAAGAGATCTATAAATATAATCAAGGTCCGCCGCAGTTGTACAGTGTTTTGTTGACAGCAATTAACACGTTATTTTGTCAAGTTCATTGGTCTTTTGCTTTTTCCTTTGGTGGAGCCAGAAGTTTTATGGAGCAGTAAAGTGCCAATTTCGGAATCGCGTCTAGTGAGATTATAACAATAATTAAATTCCCTAGGTTTTGTTCTACAGTACAGCTCATTCAGGTGACCGTAAAAAAGCAAAACAAATGCGGTGGAACGTGCTCTATGATGCTTTTGCCGTATTGCTGTCTGCTGTCTCTGCTGTTGCTGTTGTTTCTCATCGACTGCATCAGCGATGAACCTCCTACTGCATGCCTGGTTCTTCCGGTTTCTTCTTGGTTTCACGCCACATCTCTTGAATGTGGGGCGCTTCTTTGCATTCAGTTATAGCCTGTTTCCTCAACACTTGTATTGTCACTCATATACGCTGTTTGTTCTTAGCTAACCTACACTCCTGGCAACGACCGGAATGTTTCCTCCTCATCGCGTACCACAACCAGCAGTTTTCAATGACCCTCCCATGCCACCTTTTTCGCATCGTATAAACGGAAGCGATTATCCACCAACGCGCTTTCCCGCACCTCGTTTCGGACATGGTCATCCAGCACCCTTCGTAGAAGAAAATTTTGGTGGACCATCTCGAGGCTCATTCGGTAGTCGTAGGAGTGCCTCACCTGTTTTCGACGGGGATACTCACAGATATCCGGATACTGCACGCCCATTCGACCACATGAATCGGCAGGATGCTTTGGTTGAAGTCGATTATTCGCGACCACGCCCTCCACAACAGATGCACTTTTTAGGCCAACCTCAGTTTCCTACTCCAATGGATTTTTCGGGTCCATCACGCTTCGGAACCAGAGTCGCCCAACCACTGCCGCGCCCTCGCCCTTTCCGACCCATCTTAGAAAAACCACGTAGATTTGGACCGCCTCAATATGATACTGCTCGAGGTGAGCCAAAACCGCCAGTTCATTTTCTCCTGATGCTCGCATTCTCCTCACAGACAATGATTTCACTGTGACTGCTGCATCCTGAACTGTGTTTGCTCTTGGTATACTTTTTCATGACATCATCGCTGTTTTTACAGTACTTCTACAGACTACGTTATTTTACCCATGTTCAGACCTGGTATCTGCGACCTGCTCACCCATTGTGCTTGGTGGGTACATGCTTGGTTAAAGTAGCTCAACGTTTAGGCCTCATAAGGCACATGCAACCACTGGCTTGGTATAGCGCTAAGCTTCGCATCTTATTGATTTTCGGGAATTGATCCCAGTTCTGTTTCCGGCCAGCGTGGTTGTCTTTTCAACTATTCACCTGCCTCCAGTTTCGTGTCTGTGACCAGTCAATAAAGTAATTCGCGTTCACTCCTTACCTCGTCATTGAATATGCCCGCAGTCAAAATAAGCATGTTCCTTTGAGTTATCCAGACAACTCCGTGAAGGTGGATTTCACTCTAACTCTACATGGTAACATGAGCCTATTGGGTTTTGCTCTCACCCTGACCTGCTTTATCCGAATGCTTAAAGCCATCGCAATGAGGCTGGACCTTATCGTGGTACGATGGTTTGTGCGCCTCAGCGATCCATTGAGCTATGCTGGGTGGTGCTTTTGCACCTTCAGTCAATCATACCAGATTGGTCAATGGTTAGAGGCCAGACAAACTCAGTCTCCTGGTCCCCCAGGTTGGGGGTTGGAATGAGGGTGGCACCTTATTCCTTAAAACGGACTCCTTGTAGCCCAACGCCAAACCCGCTGCCTTGCGGTCAGGTTTTTGAACCAAAGGCTTTGGTTGAGAACCCTAATCGTTCTCCTGTCTAGGCCTGGGCAACCTGACAGTATCCTGACCACGCAATACTATAAATTTTACTTCAAACAATTTCTTGATGCTCTGGCCACCGCAGAGGATAATCAACGGTGCCCTATCTGTTGCATCGAGCAGGGTGGATAGGGGTTTGGATGCTACTGCTCAAGCCTTCCCGTCTTCTTATTCCCCATCTTATGCTTTTTCAGTTACCGTCCCCTTCCAACTTCACTTATATCCCCCAGTTTTCAACCCCCCGATTCTTGGCCCTCCCCCAACATGCTTTGTTAGACATTTATCTTCTAATTTCAACTCACATGTGAACGCGGAGCGTCACTCCTCTCCTGTCGACAAGCCCATGTCCAAGCAAGCGGCCCATTCCAGTTCATCGGCTTCCATTTGGAGCCCTCGATCCTCCAGATTGGCATGCCTTAATGTACGCACACTACTACAGATCGGTCAAGTGCGGCACAATAGCGGAGGTGTTTTTCCCACCTCTAGCTGACGTGTATAATGATGATGATGATGAATGCTTAAAGCCCCTCTGGATGGGTGGTATATGTTTTCACCATGTACATATAGCTGTGATGTTAAAATTATTCCATTCGGCCATACACCTACACTCATCCTTGATTCTTGTCCGTTCTGTTTCTGCCGCTTACAGCTCGCCGTATCGCTTTGACGTATTTTTGCGATGTGTGCAAAGTGGGTTGTGGGGGACCTAAGGCACTTTACGATCATAAGAATGGCCAACGTCACAAGAAACGCTTGTCCCAAGTGAGTTCGAGTGTTTTTACTCTTATAAATTTTGTACTTGACACAACCAGCGTACACTGCATTATTTTGCAGTGCGACATGGACAGATGCATACACTGTGGTGTAATACTTCTCACCTTGACACTCCCACTGCTTTTGTTTGTTACCTTATTGCGGTGGTATTGCTTCCCTAAGACCCCTAATGAAACTCGTCACACTACATCGGTCGGCAGTCTGTAAGTGCTGAGCATCGTTCACAATGTGAAATGACATTTTCCAACCCTCGTCTATCTTCTCCGGCATTCATTATTCTCTACCCACACGCAATCCGCGTTTAGGATGTGTTTTCCCATTAACCTTTTATGTTGTACCCGACTATGGAGTTCACTTTGTCCCACCACCACAACGTTTCGATCCAGATTTTTCAACCTTAGTATCAACTTGTGGTAGAGCGGAGTATTTCGCTTGAAAGTAGGAGTTTATTCCAGTTGTCATAAAGATATCGCAGCCGGTGTTAGAGTGTGCTACAACTGCTTTTGCGCAGCTACTGCGAATGTCGTACTATACTATGACTTAGACATTGACGATCACTTTCACTACATTGGGCTATTCGTTTACTTCAACGACGCGGCGCATCGCATCGGTGGATTCATAAGGTTACCTACATGCTTGTGTCCCCATCTTCCCATTATCTGTATCTTGTTCGTTGTTTTTCCTTCTTCCATCATGAGAGGACTAAACACGGTTATGGACTGCAGATGTTAGAGTATTTTCCGAAAGTGTGCGCGAGACGTGTTACTGACTCACTGGTCTTAGGCCAGTGTCTGCTCTTCTCGGTCTCATCGTCTTTCACAGTAGAATTCACACGGGGATCATATTTTCGTATTCGGTTTGCTTGGATTGCTTGTAAATCGCACCTCAAGTAGCTGAGTTTGTCATGTGACTGACATTTTCAGCTGACACCCAGTCGCCATGACTCTTTCTGTTATGACTTTTCGCTCATTTTGTACCATCCACCTTTGACTTCCGAATGTTGCCTTACACACTAGGGTAAATAAGTGGGGACATCCTACCGTTGATACTGTCTTTTCCATGTTTTAATTACATCCCACTCGCTGCCTTCCGTAGCTCTTGACGCAACTGACCACCGGTGAACTTCTACTTACCCTTTGCCTTTCCCACATCTTGTTGACGCAACATCTAATGACACTCCCCACTGGCGTTCAACTTTCATACGCTGACACGGATGGATTAAAAACTGCCTGTGCATACACACTGGGTGCTCTATGTGTTGGTTAATGCTGCTTTTTCCAAACCAGAATCCCATACGCACGATCATCCAACTAGTCTAGTGTACCTCGTCTTCCCGGTTCTGGTTGCAGGTGGTCCCATCCATTGCCACTAGTCGGAGTGGTGTCCGTACATCACTGATTGAAATAAAGGTCATTCCTCTTCACAGCAGTAAACCTTGGTCGCTTCACTCTGAAAATCGCAAGAAACTTAACACCGACTATGGTTACAGCACATTGTTAACGGCTCCAGCCACCAATACTTTCGCGGTGATGAGGTGCACATATGAGTTCCAGGCTTCACTGATCAAATCAGTTTCTTAGATCAAGAACTAAAACTGATTAAGGTGTTTTGATTCGGTTACATACCAAGTGCGCCCTTACCTAAGAGGGGCTCCGCGTTGGTAATGATGGAGGTGGGAATTGGTAATTTCTACACCTCAGGTCTGGATCGTCTACCTTGCTTCGTGATTTCTGGGGACTGCGGAACCACGGCCCGCGTATAAAACCATTTGCAATCGCACAGCAGCGCTTCATCAATATGAAAGGCTGGCATACTGCTAAACCCTTTGTTTTGCACCGTCCTTTTTTCACCTTTTTACCAGCTACCTGTGGTCGTGCGTTGTTGGTGCGTCGATCTTGCTTGTTTGTCTGGGCTATTTAATTTTCTGTTCCTTTTTCACTTCACCCCTCTTGTCATTATTAGTATCGTGCTTCTGGCTATATGGCATTGTGGCGTCAGCCCTTGATACCCTTGTCTCCATCGTGTTTCAGGTGGTATTTGAACACAAACTTTCCATGATAGCTTTTGTCCGGTTTTTTTCTTTTCAGGTCGAAGAAATGGAGCGTCTTAAATCCAAAGAAAAAGCACAAGCTGAAAACACCGCTACAAATCCCAGAACAAACGAGTTTCGTTGCGAATTGTGCAACGTCGGTTGCACGGGAACCGATGCGTTTTCTGCCCACCTCACTGGGCGAGTGCACCGACGCACTTTGCGACTGCATCGCGCGTTGGGCAAACCCATTCCCTCACTCCCTGATCCACTTGATGTCATTAAAAGTATGTGCCTCATAGGGGCGCTTTATTGGGTATGGTCATTTATGCTGTAGGAGCTTCTTGTCGTTCGTTTACATCGTCTGGTTATCTGTTCCCGTCCATCTGGCCTCATCGGCTTGTTTTCGTCTGACACAAGCCTATGCAGTACCATGGAAGCGATGCTTATCCTAGTTCTCTGGGTCTGCTAAGAATACGCATGCGTTGCATTTCGTTCACCGGGGCAATGTGTTTGCATCTGTTTGGTTTCGAGACTCTAGCGCGTCACGCCCAATTTGCAAATTGATGATAACCCACACTCCTTTCTGAACGCCCTTATCCGTGTCCGGGTAGGCCTGTCTACACGCATTGCTTCATCTTGTATTGCCTGTGCACTTACGTTTGAAAAAACTGACCGATTTGGTTGGGTGGCTGCATATGGGAATTACCGGTGATGGGCGATCAGTACATGTGAGTGTCCTGGTGGTGACGGAATCACATTTTGCAAATCATTTCGACGTTTCTCTGGACACATTAGCTGCATCTGTTGCGTACAACTGACCCGCCAATGTAATTTTGTTTTGGCTGAAGCCATTGGCACTGAAGCCATTCTCATTAGTCGTTCGGTGGATGCTCCACGTGGATTGCTCTCAGCAAACGGCCACATGTGCGCGGCTATTCTTCTGCGCTCATTATTAAACTTATTAAACTGAAGACGTCTTTTTTCATCATATCCATACACTTCCGCTCACTATAGCCTAGGTGCTGCCAAACATATATCTTATGAGCCGCTCTCTTATCCGTATGACTGCAAGTGTTTGGATATTGTGATTGTTAGTCGTGGCATTCCATCGAATCACTCCGTAGACCGTACTTGAGTCACTGGGGGACTCTTCATAAGTCCGCTACTTTCCATTGCAATTCGTCACTTCGAGTTACCTATCACCCATTGGACAGCTTTTAACGTTTTAGTCAACTCGACCGCGTCCACATTAGCAATGTTTTTGGCCGATTCAGACCATGCTATTTGCCCATCTACTCAGCCTTCCAGTTTCCGCGAAGCACATGACACAAAGATTACTGGTCCCCATTTGTACTCGCTAATCCACCAAGCAACAGTGATAATCTGCGTTGTTGCCCCAGCTTTCACTAATGTTAGAAGAGTAGTAGGGGGAGTTGAATGGTATGGGTAGAAATTGATCACATCTTGACTCAGTCAGACAGCCATCACATGCCCGGAAAAGCACTGTATGGTCATTTCATCCTTTCGGGAATCTTCATCAGTGCGCATTCCATCTGACTCTTGTAGGGCTCGAACCCGCAGCTCTACTGTTACCAGTCTGTGGTTGAGACCACTGAGCTACGGGAAACAGCAACAACTGTCGTAACTAAGTTACTAGATGTTATATATAGTGCCAGTCACTATCCACTGACTTTCACGTTACTTCTATGCAAAGGACAGGGTAGCCCCCTCAACAAGGTGGGATGAATTTCTTCCTTCACCATTCAATTTCCCCTACTACTCTTTTGTACTCAATACTGCCAAAAGTTAGTTGGCGGCTCAAGTTTCGCAAATTCGTCGCTTGGTGAGGGGACTACCCTGTACTCTGCACGGTAGTAACATGTAAACCATCGGCTAGTGAACGGCGCTATATATCACATCTAGTAACGACGGTCGTTGCCGTCCGCCGTAGCTCATTGGTCTCAACCATGGACTGGCAACAGTGGAGTTGCGGGTTCACACCCTACAAGGGTCAGATGGAATGCACACTGCTGAATATTTTACTGATGTACCAGATTGGTCACTCGGTATCTCTTGAAATCGTCTCCCGTGCTCCATACTAAAAGCTGTTGAAAGTGTTTATCCGCCTACTGGAACTCACCTTAATAATTGACAATTTCTATTTATTTGGCTCGTTTCGTTGTAACATTGTGAAGCAACACCGTCTTGGATTTTGATCCGTCGTGTTAGTGCATGGCGAAAACCCGTAAGATGTGATGGCCTGTACGTAGTCGAATGCTACGTTGGCGCGTTGGAAGCTACGTTGGCTGATGTTGGCACTCTTACGAATGGATTATGACGCGCAATCTCAATGTGGACTATAATTCGCACTGAGGTGAGGCTTGGTCAAATCGATTACTGAGACCGTAACTGAAACAAGTGGGCATGCATGCAATACCCAACATCTATCAGTTGCATACCGTTCTGGCTCATCTCTCATGTCGGTTCAGAAACCATAGTCTGAAGTTTGGTCAATGATTTAGCAACTAAACACACTACTCTTCTCTCTGATCGAGTTAGGGTATCTGCAGTACGCCGGTACACAGTACCGACGCTTCGCTGCCGCGCAACCACCACCAGTCGCGCGTGGGCCAGGGATACTGCGAGGGTTGCTCGGTCCCCTATGCAATCTCTAACCCGCGTCCTCGGATCACAAGGTAGGTTTGTGATCATTAAAGCTACGGGCCGACATTTGATCCATAATGGACCGAACTCATCGGAGTGCAATTGGCCCATCGGGTATCACGCTTAATAATTAATCGTTTAGACCACTCGATGTTTTGACTTCACCAATTCCCACTCTCGATATGAGCCGAGGCAAATTTGCGTCTCTGAAACGAAACGAGGCATCCGACGCTAAGCGTCATCTTTCTATTGATGCTGTACAACCACACAATTTGTTACTAGTTAGTTTATCTACTACATTTCACTCAGTTAGATGCAAAATGGTTGTTCTCCGACTAATGGGTGTTAACTGGCATTTTTAACGGGGACAATAAGCGTCTTATTTCAGTCACGGTGCTATAAGTTCCATCCATATTACTTCCATCTAGCTCATAAGCATTCTGGTGACCAATATGATACGCGCGCACAGGGTTTATGTTGATGAGAGTTGGTGCTTCTTTGGTATCAAAGCGGGGTCAGGGTTTTTACAGTGTAGGCAGGTGCGGCTAGCATTCTTTACCCTTATCAACCTGGTGATGCACCATCCCCCGCACTAGGAATTTCGTTCACACACTTTTCTAAACAACAATCGAGCAACTTCGATCATCTGCTTGCGCATCCAGATGCTACCCGACCATAATTGTTTCTGAGCTGGTAGTGACTGATTGGGTTCTTTGTAGAAAGCTTCGATAGCATCAGCACTACGATCGATTAGATGTTAGATAGCAGCCATTGATTAGCATCTTTTGGCGCTACGCAACACACTTGCATTACTTGACTTGGTCAAATAATCTGCATGCAGGTACTTTATCTTAGAAATTCACTCAACCGGTGAGGATTCAGTTTTGGAGCCAACAACGATATTCACTCCTACTTTATTTGTGGATACTAAGTCAGATTCTGCGGATGCGATTGTCAAACAATAGGCTGGACGCTGGCGATTCTACCTAGACCTATGGTAAACAGTAACCTAGCAGCTGGTCAATATGTGAGCTATGACCTGCTGTCCTGTGGTACTTTAAACACTGTCATGCCCGTTAATCTATAATCGCTCAAGCTGGATAGGCCGTTTTTTCTGCGCCCGTCCGCTACCTACATCGGCTTGCAATATTTGCCGCTGTTGTGTCTAGCTTGATGAACTCAGGGTAACCAGTCGTTGACGTGATCTAAGGAAGTGATAATGAAATTGGCCTAAAGCGTTGATCGGGCTAGTACGCGCTCTCTTCTCTCTTGGTGACTGTGGCTGGCCACATCGGTAACTGCAGAGTCGGCGGTACTTCCACATTCAGTCTCTTGTATCAAGCTGTTTATTTTCTAGCTTGATCGACTTTACTTACCTGTTTTTCCTTCTCTAATTTCCTTGTATTGCACTTTGGACTGGCTCATGAATAAATGTGTCCACCTTTGGTCATAACTATTGCCTATATCGGTGACATTAAATTACCTGAAGAGAGCACGTTACCTATTGTTCTCAGTCGCCTCAGATCTTAAAATGTGTTTTTCGAAGTGGCGGATTAGAATATTCTCGGAGCAACCGAAACCTTCCTGTAATTGTCCTCCACAAGTTTCGGCAGCCATTCGTCATATGGCATGCGTTGAGGCTGCTGAACCACAGTTTTTGGGGTTGCGATCAGTAACTTCTTCCTTCTGTTTGCACCAGGCTACCATGTTTGTCCTGGATCCGAATACTTGTTGGCATATAATCTTTGGTCACGTAATACAACTTATCTCCAGATTTGACATATACGTTTGCTAAACAAGCGGTGCGTACACTCCACGACGTGGCAAATGGGCACATTGGATTGCTAGTTTTACTCTGATTTCTTTGCTTTTTTGCCATAGGGCCTCAGACTAGTTACTGTTAACGGCATCGAGTGACTCGACTTTTAGCAGAGGTTGTCGAACTCATTCTTGTTGTTTGCCACCTCCCGCGCCAATGTTTTGTGGTCCATGACCATTCGTAGCTGCGCAGTATGGTGTGCAGTATGATAAGCTCTGTAGTACTAAGTTAACAACAACTCTATTGCGGTTTTTTGATGTTTCAATTTTAACGACATTTTCGAACACATGTTTAAGAAATTGCCTTGATCCCATCTATTGTTTTGCGGCGCCTTTTTGCTATATTTATCAATAGTGACAGTTTAGCCAAGAGGCACGTTTGTACACTTGCAAAACATTGACTGCAACATAGACAGAAGAGACGATTTTCTTGTTCCAAGTCGAAATGCAGGAGAAACAGCTTGTAACATCAGCAGTGCATTTGGTCTTGGAACCAGTGATTACCAAACTGCACAATACTGGTTTCAAAAATTTCGAGTAGTTTACGTGTGTTGAAGATGAAGAGCATTGTGAACAGCCATCGGAAGTGAACAACTATCAATTACAAGCCTTAGTTGTGGCGGATCCGCATAAAACTCTTGGGGATCTTGCTCCTGACTTAGTAATATCGCACCTGGTGGTTTTCAAACGTTTACGGGAGATAGAAATAGCAAAAAACCTTGATAAGGAAGTGTCACGCGATTTGAGTAAAAAATCAGTAAGATCTTCGTTTTGAACTATTGTCTTCTCTTGTTCTGAGCATTAAAAACGACCCGTTTCTCAACCAGAATGTGACATGCGACCATAATTAGATCCTTTACTGAAAGTGACGACACGTTGCCAAGTGGTTGGACCATAAGCAAACTCCACATCTCCCACAGCCTGAAATTGCACTCAGAAATGGTTATTGTGATTGTTTGGTGGTCTGCAGCTAGTCTGATGCTTCATAGCTTTCTGAATCCAGAGGAAACCGTTTCAGTAGAGATGTATTGTCAACAAATCGCCGAAAACGTCAGTATCTGCCACTTGCCGATGGAAAGGGGCAAATTCCTCGCCACGATAATACTAGGCAGACGTCACGTGACCAGACCTAAATATGCTAATTGAGCTAGGCTACAAAACTTTATCTCAGTCACCATATTTCTCTGACTCCTTGCCTCCCTACCACCACATTTTCAAGAACCTGTATAAATTTCTCCGAGGATATGCTGAAACCACTTTCGACGAGTTCATCGCCACTTGAACTCCATAATTTTATCTATTTAGGATAACTGAACTTATTTTTCGTTGGCAAACGTGTATCGATTTAAATACTCTTTTTTGCTTACAAATGTCACCTGTGAGCCAATATATATGCATTCAATTTCTGCAGTTAAAATTGCAATAGCAACCTAATACTATTCGACTATGAGCTCAAAGTATCCCGCCAACGTATCAACCTGCTCCTGAGCAAATGCTACTGCTTTCTTTTCAGTCCCAACTTCGATCATTTTATGCATATTGCTCTACGAGTATTACTTTCAATCCCTCCTCTTATGCTCCTTTTGTTCACCACGTACAGTGAGTGACGATTCGGACCGCGAACCTCCGAAAGTAGAAACTCCATCAACAAACACCGGAGTCACTCACACTCCTACGACGAGGCCGGATACTACCCCTACTCAACAGACAGCTGCCACGAGGACTGAAGAGAAGCTGGTTGGTGAAGAATACGTGGTTGCGGTGAGATTTACCTTATTATTAAGATGACACCTCTGAGAGTGTTGTGTTTCTGCTTATATTACGGATAACCGATACAGCTATTCAGGTCACGGTTCAGCCACCTCACAAATCCGAAGACTGGCCTCTGGTGAAACCTCTTGAGCGCCCGGAAAACAGTATCCAGAGCCAAAGATGCGGTCAAAATACAATAAAGCCTCCGTAAATTCTCCACTCAAGGAACTCGACAAAGTGATCAACACGAAGGTGGTCGACATACGGAGGTCCGTATCCTTATGGTTTACATGAACGTTCGAGCAGTGAAAAGACCAGTCAACTTAGAAGTAGTCAGAATAGAGTGGTCAATTTCGGAGGTTATACCCTAAATAATTAACGACAGACTGACTTAGCTGAAAATTCCTAGCTTCCAGAAATTACTAGGTGCCTAAAAGCGCGCTTGTTTGTTCCCGAAGGAGTGTGTTCCCTGGGGATCTACAAGTCACCTCATTCTCATTGTTGAACTTCAAGGTTAGACGCTTTCATTGGCTGATTGTCATTAGCTAGCCAGTTAGCTCCAGGCTGTGTCAAGCCAAAATTATCCGGGCTGATAGCGAGAGTACCAATGCCGAGGCATGCTATGGGTAGGCAGTTTATCAAACCTGTAACTTTTTTGACCTGACTGCGGTGGATCAACTGGCTATGGGGTATGTTGTGTAGTGCTTCGGGTGCTTTGCTTACGATCTGTACACTGGGTTCGAGTCCCCACTTCCGCATAGGTATAGTCACACCTGCAGTGTCCCATCCGGCGTACAACCGCCAGTTTGCCTGGCATCGAAGCGTCTGTGGTAACAGCTGGGGAACAGCCATGACCCAAGACCGACTTCTTGTTTGCTCGCTTCGATAGCCACAAATCGACCCCGAATGGACGTATCCACGGCCAAGCGGATAATTGGTTTGGCATGCAGAGAACAAAACTTAAGTATATGCCGCGAAAGGAACAACCAATTTGTGTGTGATTAATTGAAATGTCCTGTTAAATGAACCCGTGTTCTTAGAACAATCGATTGTTGATCGAGGCCCAGACTTTTTTTTGGTTCACGGTGCGCTACTACGACGGCATCTAGTGATGGCTGAGTGTCTCGGGCGTCTGACTTGTGATCCATGAATTGCTCTTACGAGTCTGCGCGTCGGCGTGGACAGCTATGTAGTCTCCCGATCTATCACGTGACTGTTAGTAGTCTCACGTCAACGTGGGTACAACGTACCGCGTGCTTCTATCGCTTCTGGGATAGACCTTAAGCTACGGTCGTATAGTAAATGTGCTCTAGTAATTCACAGATTTTCACATCTTCACCCAGTGCAATCATCATGCACTTATTCAAATCGGATTAACTTCACATATTCAGTGGGCGCATATATACTGAATTATTTTCTACTTATAGTGATTTGTGTATTTCTAGTTGTTTTAACACACCGCGCTCATATCTAGCCACGCGACCCTGTTGTTTTTTAACATCTCCCACTGCTGCGAAACCGCGATCGATAAAAGCTTCTCTACGCTATCTGGTGGTCCTAGAATTACTTCTACAGGATCGTTACAAAGAGGCTACAACCCAATTTGTAGTTTTCGACTTTAGTTGTTCATCGCGTACACTTAGTCGTTGGCATCCACCCACTACAAGCTGATTTGAGTGGCTAAACTGACTAGAAACCGTTGTCCTTCAACAAAGCAGCCATCCTGCATGTGCGCGTGTTCTTCGGTCGACAGCGATAACCGACGGCGCCAGTACCACTGGAACAACGAACGTTGGAATCACTCATCTTCTACTACGCGTGACCGGACAAGTGCAGTGTTCGAGTGCAACAACGACCGTTACTGCACATGATTCCACTTAGTGACGCATGTGGCGGGCCAAACTGCACGAGAGGTCAGAAGAGGAGTCACCTTTTCAAATTGTGCCCTTGCGTTCCACCACAACTGGTAGTTTAAGTCATCTAGAATTTAAGGGACAAACCAGACTGATGCGCTCTGGTTTTGCCAAGCATGCAAAACAATCCCGACTGTCAAGTGTATATTGGTACTCGTGAAAACTGAAAAACACGAAAACAGTCTTGCAGATGGTGAGTTTCAGGACTGTCGTTTGAGTTTAGTAAGAATGCTCTTATTATGCAACAAACACCTCTCAGCTCTGTCCCTAAGTCGAATGGTAAAGTCAGTCTTGCTAACCGTCCCACGGCAGCTGCGCATGAACTCCGACACTTACCAACCCTAAGTAGGCAAGTCACATCTGATGTGACTGCTTCTAACTCATTCCTGAGCAATACACCTAAGCAATGGGTCACAACAGCCCACCGTGGGTTAACATAAGCATCGGTCGCCTCGATAAAATCACCGGAAGCGACACCCGTGTGTCCATTTTTTGAACCAATCACGAGCGATCTGACGCAGTTTTCACGACATTAGGCCAAAGATAGCAGGAGATTCGACTAAGGACAGCAGACACACGGCCATGAGTGGGTAACACTTCGTTGGGACATGCAACCTCAGTAAGGCCTTTGCCCCCACAGTTCTGCATTCACGGCGCCCGACAAAACAGCGACACACGAGAGAACATCCAGATCTGGAACGTCCTGGCCACCATGCAGCCTGACCAAAATTCAGGATCCAACGGCCCACGCAATAAACAAATAGCGGCCGACCGACAAACAGTCGGCTTAAAAGTGAACACGGATTGGTTGTCCACTTCTAACATCAAAAACACTATCCTGTTTGTGTACTAAGGCTCACAGTCTGCTTAGTAAGTTTTCCTAACTTAGCGAATGCCAGGCATCACAACCGCGGGATCTCAGTATGATTACGGAGACGTGGTTAAGCCTTGAGATATCAGATTCTGTGGTCTATTTACCTGGTATGTCGCTGCTTCGAAATGATAGAACTTGTATTGCTGGTGGCGTAATTCTGCATTATAAGGCGTATCTGATCACTTCGAAGCTCGTGCCCCCTGTCGCTTTGGTGCGGGCGATGGTTGCGCAAGATATGTGTCCTATAGCTGTGATTTACCGTCCACCAAACTTCACGTGTGAAGTGGACTCTTAACTGAACCACGTTCTTCGGGTTGTTTCGAACAAGTCATACAGTCACATTCTCAACGTGCGTGACTTTAATTTACACGACCTGGAAATAGCAGCAACCGATCGCACACAGTTTACAGCCTTTTTACAAGAGATTTTTCCCAGCTACCTTGTGTACAACCATGTAACCTCTCTTGCCAGATTTCGTACTGTTAACAGGCCGTCGATACTTGATCTTGTGCTCATCAACGAAGAACTCATGGTCGACGTAATAGTTACAAGCACACAACTGGGTCTCAGTGGCCATGTGACTACTGTTTGACTATGTATGCTATGCCGTATCCTGAAGAAAGGGATGATGAAGTGTATACTACCACACATTACATCGTGTTACCCGCACTTGGTAAAGCGAAATCCTAGAGCTTCATAACCGAATACACCTAGGAAACGTTCATAAGGACATTTAGCATACTGGTAGCGCATGCATCGGAACAGAAATCCTTCCATCGTCAAAGGAAAAGTTAGTGATTTCTAAGGAGCAGAACACGTAATTGCATGTTCTTGAAGGACTTAGCATGGATAGCTCACAAGGACTCGCCCAATTCCGACACCTGGACAGCATATGTGGCTCAGCGCAAGTTTTGTGTGAAAATTGATCCGCGAGGGCAAGGTGATGCATCAGCAGGAGGTAACGAAGCGATTCTATACGCATTGCAATCTCATAGTCGCATGTTAATTTCCTTCCTAAAATGCGACGCGTAATTCCGGCACTGGTCACAATTGACGGGTACACGCGGCCAGCAACCGAAGCAGCCGATCTCCTACGGTTCTTGATCAAGTCAGATTTAGCGTGCCTCGAAGTATTCAAGAATAAATTATTTAGTCTTACTTTTACTTGCATGCGTTCCAGAGACTAACGGGCCTAAGGATTATCCCAGCTTTTATTCTCCTACCGTCAGCTTTATCCAATACCACTTACTGCAGAAGCTGTGTTAAGGAAGTTGTTGTTCCTACGTACCCACAGCTTTCCTGGTGTCGATAACGTTCGACCGAAGGCTTTAAAGGCATCAGCCATCTTCTACCAACTCTGTCTAGAGGAGAATCAAACTCCAGCATTATGGAATCGAGGAATCCTCACTCTTATTCGTAAGTGAAGTAGTTGCACTAACCCTACCAACTAGAGTCCAATAATCCTACTTTCTGTGCCTTCCAAATTTATGGAATCAATCATCGCAAATGCACTGATGCCTTACCTGAAAAACCGCAGCATACTGGCCCTCGTAGTAACCTGACTTCCGACAAAACCGTTCATGCACTACGAACTTGTTAATTGCACGCAGTATCTGGCTTGATGTTGGAATGGGAGTCGACGTCATCTACCTGGATTTATTAAAAGAGTTTGATTGTTTAGACCACCGAATCCTCCACCACAAACTAGATCTATAGCATTGGTGGCACACTGCTGCGTTGGATAGGCAATTTCCTGCACCAACTTCGATTGGATGTGAGAGTACGAGAACTCCTGTCTGACGCAATTGAGGTGGAGTGCGGTGTACCACAAGGTTCGGTGCTTAGGCATCGTCTATTATTAATTTTTGTAACTAATCTGACGAGGTCAATAACTTCCGGTTTCCTGTTTTTCGCTGACGATGTCAAGATATGGCGAGCGATCAGGGAACTGGACGACCACTGAAAGTTCCAGCGTGACCTTAACACGATTTCGAACTGGCTAGTTCAAATTACACTACCATTCAATGTAGACAAATGTCGCGCTGTTTAGTTACGCCATAAGCATGATTACGTGTACTGGCTTGGGTCGCACCGACTAGTCGATGATGCGACCTAAAGGCATGAAAAATCAACCACATGATTTGGTCAGACTAATGTGTGCCGACTTCGTGAATGCTTTCCCGGAAATGTGCCACATTGGTGGTTGGAGACATTTTGTGATACTGCGCAGCTTTTGGGTCATTGGTGCTCATACCTTCGGTTTCTGGCATGTGCCTATTAACTTTTCATTCGTACTAATTTTGCTCACTTTTTATCTTACCCCGTTGTATTCTACTTGTGTCCGACCTCAATTTCCTCGCGCTTGTTGGCTATCCTTATCGCTCCTTTGCGAACTGTGGCAGCTGAATCCATCGAATTTCGATACCTGACTCGTTATTGTTTAACTTAACAATGCTTTTTGTTTAAGTGATTTATCTCATCCGTTGGCCTTTCAATGAGTGGGGGCAAAGCTTACATCTCGGCTCCACAATGCAGCAATTTCTTAGGCTCTGACTTACCTAACAGCTGTATTTCCGGAGAGGCATTTACGGGGCTGAGTCCAAACTTGAAATGACTGTTAATCACTTCATGCTTTTCTTCCTTGAGGTCTAGCATCATCGTGTTATTCTTATTTATCGCAATGTTAAAAGGAAACGGATAGGGTGTTCCGGCCACCCCACGTACTCTATCGAATTCAGAGGGTATCTCCTTTAAACCTCAATCTTAATTCCAAGAGTCACTGCATGAGGATTTTGAAATAAGAGAGAGTTTCCACCTTACATTCATCAACGAGTAGCAGATTAAGCATGTTTGCGAGGTTGCACATTGGACATATGAGCCATGAATTGCCCGTATACCAACGTATCTGCTATGGGCGCCGTCTTAAAACTATGGCAGCGAAAGCAAATTCTTACCACTTTTTAATGTCCTGACCATAGCTGACTAACTTCTAGGTTCTTTTCTGTCCATTCGACCGGCACGTTCATGTTTTGTAAGCCGCGCGAGGCAGCATGAAGCTCTTGTCAACTCTGATATGCGCTCGTAACCAATGAGTATGTACCTTGCAATCACAAAATCTTTGATTGATATTGCTTGCATACATCGACGAGCCTTGTTTTTGTGTGATATACAAGCTCCATACTTTTTGTTGACCGTCCTGTTTGTATTTGCGTTTATCTTTTCTTTTTATCTCTCCACCATCTTGCTTTTGCTTTTAGTTTCCCGCCCCAGGCGGTATGGGTGTGCATTTTCGCTGCGGCTTGTGTGAATGTCAATTTAACAATAAAGAAGCCAAAGAATTGCATATGAGAGGCCGACGACATCGTCTACAGTACAAAAAGAAGGTTGATCCTCTGCTTGTGGTTGAACCGAAACAGCGCAAGGCTCCTGTCAAGCGAAAAGTTCTGTTGGGTCCCAGACCTGATATGGTAATCTGATTATTGCACTCATTGTTCTTGATATTGAACCGCAGTATAACATAGTCTGTCTCAGGATTTTATATTACCTCGCAAAAGCAGTTAGTCATAGGCAATCCGGTGGTATTTTCGTTCACTCGGACAACTGTATAGGCAATGTATCCTGGAAATAGTTGACCCTCAGGACTGTCTTTGGTTCAGTTGCTAGCGTCCGTTTCAGGAGATGTTTGTTTGTGAATGACATCGGAGAACTTTCATTTTCTGCTTCTCCATGTACCAGCATGCGAGCAACTGTGTCTTGATTTCACTACAACAATTTGAGTACATCAAGATTGTCCCATCTTCATCTTTAGCTGCGGCAACAAAGTATTGATGAATTCTACTATCCTGTCGGTATATTCTGATTCAAAATTTCTACCGGTAACCACCATACAAGCGCTTCTAGATAGACGGAAAACCACACGCTTTGACACGTGCTTCACAACTTCAAAATGTCAACTACCACTGCAAGACTGCCGGTTTGTTGGCTATCCTTGTCACGCCCTATCAGCTACTATGAATTATCGATCCGTTCACCCGATGGTTACATTGCCGAAGCGGTCATTGTGCATCCGTCGGACCCGTATAGATTATACAGTCCTTAGCGATCTGTGGCAATGGCTGCGTAAAGTTTGTCCATCCACCAGTCGTAAGATTCGCACTGCTGTATTGGATCTATGAGCGTTAACATTGCTCGCCGAACAGACCGGGTGTGTTTGCTTACGGATGCAAGTGGAGTACACTTCGCAGCTAGTTGGACTACTTTGTGTTTGGTAACAAGCTCCATTGGACAGCACTGGACCACCTATCGAGCTTGCATGCCCATTTTGCCTAGGCGCAGCTGTACGCTATCGGGCGCGTCCCCAGGTTCCGGATTGGGGAATGTCTTCCTTGTGGTGGCGACTGTGAATAAGTCTCGTTTGCTTCGCAGGCGAGATAAATAAACAGTCGCGCGCAATCAGCGGCGGCGTCTCTGAGTGTGGGGAGTTCCTGGCTGGTCACCTGGTTCTTCCTCAAATACCACATGAGCTCGTACGGCGCTGTGTCAAAGCCAATGTGGCCAGCTATAGGGTCACTGACCAGTTATTTCTGGTCACAGAAGTGAGTGACGGAGGGCGGATGAACATCCTTGCTAGCCACCCGCTTCTCTGTGGACTGCTTCCAAGCACAAAGAAGGCGAATGAGCCGCTCTGCTGCCAATGGTCTTCGTGAATCGCTCCACTGCCTGCGGGTCAGGTCTTTATGACAAAAAGCTCGGAATGGGGTTCCTTAAGTCAACTCTCTTCCTCAGCCTGGGCAGCTGAGAAGGCCTCTACCCACGGAACGCATGAACTAAACCTTTCAAACACTTCCATTGACTGACAGTTTTTCCACTTTTTGTTGTTGTTAATCATGTGTTGTGGCACTGCCAGTTGTTGATTAGTCAAGTGTTGAATAATAATAATAATAATAGGCCATGCTCTTTGCTCATGTATCGGTATGCCGTTCGCGGAACCTTATTGAGTAGATCTCCAAAGTGGCCAGTCACCATATGCTGTGTGCAAATGACCATGAAGCTCGTTCAGACCCACGGGATCCGCCACACCGACGGTTAGTTACCTTATTCAACCTAATGCATTTGCAAGACCAGTGACGCTGTTGCTTTAGATCTCGTTCCTACTTCGTAGACTTTCTATCCGACGGTTCCTCTTTTCTTAATTCATTCGCTTCTGAATTCTTGTCCATAAGTTTGCGCTCGTCCTCTATTCACTGCACGTTGCTACTGTCTTAGCGACCTAAGTCATGGCGACTGTATCCGTCGCGCCGGGAGGCTTACTGATTAGCAAATATCTGTATGTTTTTCACTCGAACCTTCACGCTCTATGGCTACAGCTTTCGCAGTCCGATGAAAGTCATTTGTTGTTTGGTGTATTCAGGTCCGTCAAGTCAGGTGTAGGCCTCTTCCGATGGTTTCTAAGACAGCTCGTTTACTTTGCTTGCCCGTCTACATGAGGATACGTGCCCACTCCTCCGTACCTACAGTCGTACGGTGTTCTGTCCGCTGCTTCCTACCTAATGGTTTATTCAGTCACAGAGTGTATTTGTTTTCCTTCGTAAACTTTTACTTAGCTTCTCTCGGGATAGTTGTTTCCTATGGTGTAGAGTCTTGTAGTTTACCGTTATATCTGACACGAAATTCGGCATCTTCGCTCGCCTGTTTTCAGTCATTCGGGACCACCTCACTGAATCTTCTTATCTCCAAGTGTGATTCAACTCTGGACTTCTATGCTATTCTTTGTCATCCGCTGCCTTATGAGCGACCGTTTCCCCTTCCATCTTGACTCAGGTCTCGATGCTTCGTGTACCGCATGTACACCGACCCATTACCAACTCTGGGGTGTCCGCACAGAATCGGCTTCGCCGCATGGATGTACTCACTCGTATAATGTTCCAACTGACTTTACTGCGTCTTTTGACCCTCCTATCACTGTGGAATAGGCACCGGCTTAAGCCTGCACGCAGTCTTCGAACCTGTCTTTTACAGAGAGCGGTTAGACGATTGCCGTTGAAACGCATTGGCCTTAGACCTCTTCGTCCCATTCCAGTCGCATTTCAGTCCTCATCTCTCAGGGCACGTCACTTTCTAAAAGAACTACTTTCCCACGCCACCCATCAACGACCCTGTCGCACAATCCCCGAACTTACTCTTTGAATCCATCTGCAACTTGGCTCTAGTTGCATTTTGTTGCATCTCATTACCTTACACCAGTCGGTCTGTTGCTACCCTCCTGACATAACTTCACAATAAAACCCTTTTCATGCGTTATTCCATCTCTGTTGCTGCTCACTATCCAAATTTTTATGACCGCTCGCGCGTCTAAGCGAAACTCCGTTCCACTACCCAACGGCCTTGCACGAATGCATGTCGATCAGTGTGATACCATTTCAGTTCGGTGCTGATTCTAAATCGCTACACTTGTCTTGCATCGCACTCCAGCGAATGAGTACTGGGTTTATCAAGCATCTCCAGCTGCGGGTATCACAGAATGTTCTCCACAAGTCTCTTGGTCTGCTTTACTGCTCCTCCGAATTTTCCACTTAGCTAACTGTCTTGAAAGTTGCTTTGTCGAAACATGAATTCCCCATCTGTTGCAAAGCATGAGAGGTCCCTACTGGTAGGCCTGATGCCTTCGTTAGATGCCAGTTTTTCTTGCTTCCTGGACCAGTCAGATTACTGGCTAACTCACTCCCACAATCTGATCCTCTTTAATAATAATAATAATATAATAATAATAATAATAATAATAATAATGAATCACCAACTGTACACCGTAACGGCGCTTCGCTGCCACGCGACCACCACCAGTCGCGCGTGGGCTGAGTATACCGCGAGGACGCCCGCCCCTACGCGGGTCTGATCCTCTTTGGAGGTTAGGATTAGGTCGATAGCCCTCTTCCTTTAAAACCTAGCCATTGGAGACAACATGTTTGCGGCTTATAAGCTCACAGCTCGATTGGTGTCGAGCATGAGCGCCACTCATTTTCCCTTACTGTGGGCGAGCACCTTCCGGTGCTCAATGGTTTGCCACCACCCACCCCAAGCCTGTCAGCCCCTGGTCAAATTGGTGCAAACCTGTCAACTTCCACCTGCGGGTGGCCGTGATCGCAGATGCTAGCAGAATACAGCCGGAAACCGTCTGCGCTATTCTAAATCTTCAAAAGCTGTGCGTGACAGGTCTGAACCACAAACCCTATGGGTCTCTGCAATGGGTCAGAAAGTTGAGTCAAAGGCTTGGAGCTAGGCATCTCGAACAAAACCTTATGGGCAGTCGTCGAGTATCGTCCACCCTCTCGACCACTTCGATAATACGTCTTCTTCTTGCTCTCTCTCCTCTCTTCTTCCTCCTCTATTTAACAGGAGACTGCCACTAACCTTGCAGCTGCTGCCACCGATACACGTAGCTCTTCCATCAAACCTAGAGTTTCATTTCACGTTGGTTCTTTTAACGTCTGCGCTCTGAGTCAGACCGGCCAACAGGCAGCACTGAGTCTCACTTTTCACTCTCTTGCTATTCATATGTGCTCTTTCCGAAACACACATACGAGATAACAGCATCTTGACAAATCTTCGACTCCCTAGTTCTGATTCCAACAAGGATGGTTACACTCTTCGCGTCTCTAGTGATGCTGAGTCAATGATTCAAGGTATTCATCGTGTTGGTATTTCCCTCAGCAAACATGCTGAAGGCAGTCTCCTGGACTAGATACTGCTGAACAGCTGCATGTGTGTGGTTCGATTTCGAACCTCTATTGGGATCAATAAGCAGCGTCTGAATGCAAGTTGTCATTTCATCGCCTCAGTTTCTGCCCCTACTGAATGCAGTTTGAAGGGTATCAAAGACGCTTTCTGTCGACAACTCTCTTATGATGACCAAGAATACTGACATCTTGATTATTGGTTGTGACTTGAATGCCCAAGTGGATCATCTTTCAGACTGAACGACCCCTGGGAGGCCGCTTCGGACTCGATGCACGTCGAACATGCAGAGGTGATTGAATCCTGAAACTGTGCGCCGACCACAACCTTTGCCTCAGCAGCGTTGCTTTCCAGTACGAACGTTCACACCGCATCATTTGGCGCCCACCGAATCCGCAATGACCTGGCCCCAAATTGACCATATTGCCTTCAACTATGACGCACATCAGTCCAAGGCTGTGGATCGATTTGGAGCACGTGTCTGGATTCCGAGCATACTGTAGTGCGGGCACCCTTAGCGCTCACTCTTCCCGCTTCAGAGAAGTGCCTATTTTCTAACCTTACCTGTAACTTGAACTCGCATTCTGCAATTCAACAATATCACGAAGAATTGGCACGCTAGTCGTCAAAGATGAAGGAGGTTTGTGAGCCGAACGCTGACTGGGATCGTCCTAAATGTGCCATGAAGAATGTCTGACGCCTACTGTGCACCAAGCTTGCGACATCATAACTGCGA